ATGTTGAGTTTTAAGCCAACTTTTTCACTCTCCTCTTTCACTTTCATCAAAAGGCTCTTTAGTTCTTCTTCACTTTCTGGGTGGTGTCATCTGCATATCTGAGGTTATTGATATTTCTCCTGGCAATCTTGATTCCAGCTTGTGCTTCATCCAGCCCAGCATTTCTCATGATGTACTCTGCATATAAGTTAAATAAGCAGGGTGACAATATATAGCCTTGACGTACTCCTTTTCCTATTTGGAACCAGTCTGTTGTCCCATGTCCAGTTCTAACTGTTGCTTCCTGACCTGAACACAGATTTCTCAAGAGGTATGTCAGGTAGTCTGGTATTCCAATCTCTTTAAGGATTTTCCACAATTGACTATACTTCAATACAAAATAAAAAGTTGAAAAACATTTTTAAGTGTATATGCAGGTTGTTTAGGTATACCAAGCTGGCACTCCTCTCGAAATAATTTAAGTGACCAGAACCCCCTAATGAGGGCCAAAACCAAGAGAAATACAGATTGTCTCATTGAAGGGTTTCACAATCAGGCATCCCTGATCAGCCTCCAGGACTCGGAGGGCAGGGATATCTTACAACCTCTCGGACCTGTCAGACTCTTCAAGACAACCAGAGCAAATATGATTACTTATTCAGTTCCTGAATCGTTCCTTCTCCCACCTTGAGATGGGGACAGAGCCTTGAAGTTAACTTGTGGAATAAATGTCACTCACTTCTCCAAAGCGACTCCTTAAATCAAGATGTCCACAGTTGTCTGTTGTGCACAGACTTGACAATCAGGTGCCAAGAGGGATTCTCCTATGCCCTTCCCCACAGTCCCCCAGCAACACAGACAGATTCACCCAGGTGACCTACCGTAGCCCACTGCATAGCCTATTAGGAGTTGGAAGAAGCCAAAGAGGTTAGGTGAGATATCCCATCGGGGCCAAAACTTGTTATTGGAAAACTGAGTTCACCTTGGTGTGGGGACAAAAGACACAGACAAGCCAAATAGCAGGAGAAGGAAGGATTGATTACTTACAGCCGGCAAGGGAAATACTGTGGCTCTTTCCCAATGCAGTGTTTCCAAGAACAGCAAAATTGGGCAAGTTTTAAGCTAAGGGTACATGTTCATATATTGATATTCATGCCTTCAGCAGAGGGGAATTCAGCACAGAATTGGGAGTTAGGTCAACAGAGTCCAAGCTTTAGTTGATTGAAGGCACAAGGGTCAATAAAGGTCCATATCCCCCAGATTATGGAAAGTTTTTCTCTCACTCATTTCCGTCTTGTAAACCAATATAGCCTCTCTGCCAGGGTCTCTTTTTTCTCTCTAGATCTTTCTTTCCATTGTTTTCTCCAATTGTTTTCATTGTGAAAGTCTAGGAAGTGGACATGAAAGAGACAGGTATTCCTTGAAGGTCAGGTTTTAGTCTACTTGGGCTAGTTAAAAAAAAAAAAGAAGACTGGGTGGCTTATCAACCACAGACATTTATTTTATATGGTTCTGGAATCTAGAAGTCCAAGATCAGACTGCCAGAATGATCAGGGTCTGATGAAAACCCTCTTCAGGGTTGAAGACTGCTGACTTGGGTCTTCACATCATGAAAGGGGACCAGAGATCTCTCTCATGGCTCTTTTATGAGGGTATTAAACTCATTCATAGGGTGGTGGTTACCTAATCACCTCTCACCCCTTCTCCCATCACCCCACTAATACCATCACATTGAGCATTAGGATTTCAACATACGCAGCTTGGAGTAGGGACGAAGACAATAAGGAAAGGTGGGCAAAACACTAGGAACTAAGACTAAGATAGCATTCCTGTCTTCAGGAAAGGGAAAAAAGGATGGGGGCATTTACATTTTAATAACTGCTTTACATTGTCCTATTTGTAAAGAGATACACTGAAAGCCAGTCATAGAATACGACTTGCAATCAGTTCAGGCAACCTCCTTGGTCATCTGGGGCCACAGTCTACAGCAGAGCTGCTACTTTCTGATTGGATGATGGCAGTTGAAGGACTAAGTTTCAGGTGCTTCCTAGTACGGTCAGCATCCGGTCAGGAACTCTGTGGCCCTCAGCAAGCAGGGCAGGTGTTCTCCCAAGAGATTCCTCTGCAGCTGGCATCTACTCCTTCGCAAATCCTTTCTTCCAGGCAGAGGCTATGCAAATAATTGTCTGATGTTTTGCAGAAAGAAGAACTACTATATTTCTGAGCTCAACAAAAATGTCACATCCTGCTAATGTGAAAAACTCCATTTTCTTCACTTCAAAATGCTAATCTCTGAGTCGAATCTAGTACCTCTTTTCTGAAAACATACTCAGGATTTCTCCTCAAAAAGATGAAAACAATAACAGAAAAGATTCAAACGGACACCTCAGTAAAAAAAAAGGGAGGAGGGGCAGGTGTTTATGTAAATAATCCTAAACTCTGTCATGGTTTTTATTTTTATCTTTCAAGAATTGCTTTCACTTGGGAGAGTCACCAAAAATGAGGTTGATTTTACTTTGTGATCATATTGTTTACACAAGCCATTTTTAGTTTGTTAATATTTCTGTGTATTATATTCCTACAATATTTCTGTGGAAGAGACCACTATAGTTCAAGATATTTTATTCTGATTTGATCTAATTTTTATCTCACTCATTTTCCCCCACTTTGGTAAATGCCATTCATAATGATGTCTCTAAACCTAGGTGGCCATTTACAAGTTTTCCCCATTCTGACCACATCTCCTATGTTTTCCAAGCTGTTGTACTTTACGAAAGGATGTGTGCCAAGTCATGCCCATCATCTCTTTAAAAATGCTTCGCCAGACTTCCTTCTCTCATGCGTCCCATTCCCTAATTAGCCTCACCACACTTAGTATCTTAGTCTCCTGCACATTCCTAAATCATTGCTAGGATGTGACCTAGCATCTGCTGGTTCATTGTTTTTTCAATACTTCCTATGTTACTTCATATTGTTATTTTTTTAAATCTGTTTTTATTAGGTATTTCCTTTGTGACCTTTCTCTACCCCACCAATTCATTTAACCCAGTGGCTGGACAGAGCAGTTTAGTAAACCTTCAATCAATGCTCATTTTTCTGACTTTCAGTAAAAAAAAAGTTAAAGAAATATACTACTTTACAACCTAGGGAGAGACAGTTTGGGGCTGAAAGGATCTGAGGCTTTAATGTTAGACAAAGCTAGGAACAAATCCTAGTTTTGCCTTGGGCAAGATTCTAAACTTCTTAGCCTCCTTATCCTTGAAGTGAGTAAGATAATGCTTATCTCCTGGGAAATTGATGAATAACTATGGAAAGCACCCTTCTAGATCCAGCCAACTTGGAAGGTGTTAAAGGAAAGGAAACCAGAATTTTGGGTGAACTACTTCTCAGCTTTCCAATGTTTCCACTCCATGTCGTAACAGGCTGACCTATTGTCCCCTTGAGAGCCTGAAGTTTGGGGTGTCAGTGATGGTGTGGACAGGATACCTGGAGGGAGCCATATCTAGCGAAGGAATCAAGAAATCAGCCATTTGGGACTCCTGGCTTCCACTGAAAGGGCACAGGTTTGATCCCAGGTTGGGGAACAAGAATCCCACAGGCCATGTGATGCAGCTGAAAAAAAATATTAAAAGAAAAAAAAAAAAAGAAAACCAGGGGCTCCCCTGGTGGTTCAGTGGTAAGAATTCGCTTGTCAATGCAAGATAGACGGCTTCCATCCCTGATCCGTGTCAGTTCCCGCATGTCACGGAGCAACTAAGCCCAGGCGCCACAAGTACTGAGCACACGGGCAGAAACTACTGAAGCCCCTGTTCCCTAGAGCTCATGCTCCCCAACATGAGAAATCCTCACACCACAACTAGAGAGTAGCCCCCCACTCAGGGCAACAAGAGAAAGCCTGCACAGCAATGAAGACCCAGCACTAAATAAATATATAAAAAGTGAAAAACTATCATTGAGGGCTTTGAAGATGATTAAAAGTTGTACATAGCTTAGTTCATCCGAAGAACCCGACCCCCAAATTAAAAAAAAAAAAAGTCATTCGTTAAATATTCTTTGAACCTCTTACAGGAAGCCCTGAGTTTAGATTTTTGCCACAGGACCCTGATTCAAATCTACTTTTGGGTTTCTTTAGAAGTTGCTTGGATTAAGCAAAGAGTCGGACACGACTGAGCGACTGAACTGAACTGAACTGAACTGGATTAAGCAAGTAAATGAAAGGATTACATGTAAGCATCCCTACATGACAGGGGAGGAAAGATTTTAAAAATTTACCCCAGAACCTCGCGTAACAGCCTCGGGGTAGCTGACCTTGAAAATGAAGAAGGAATAAATGAAAGGAGGGATGAAGAAACGAATACTGAAGAACGACAGACACAGAGTCAGGGCTAGAACACAGACAGAGGTCCTTGTTTGTTGCTGTTTTCACCACAGTCTCTTTCAAGAGCCGTGCCTCACATCCTCCTTTACCATTTTCCTTCCTGTCACCGGGCCCTTCTATCTTCTCGCTCCAACTCCACCCCTGGAGCCGTGAGTCGCCCTCTGGCTCCCGCCCCACCGGGAGGCCCCGCCCCTCCTGTCGCCCCGCCCCCCGCCTGGCCCCGCGGGAATGAATGGCAGCGCGGCCGCCGCTCCGCTCGGGCGCTGATTGGCCCCCTGGCGCGGTGACGCTCGGGCGGCCGCGGGAGCACGCAGGCGGGCGGGGCGCGGGCAGCGGGGGGCGGGGCCGGGGGGCCGGGCGCCGGGCGGGGCGGGGCCTCCCGGCCGGGAGCTGTGGGGCCGGGCGGCCGGAGGCGGCGGGAGGCGGCCGGGCCGTTTAAGGGCCGCCCTCCCGCCCCCAGGCGCCCGGTCTGGCTCTGGCCCGGTCTCGACCCCCGGCCCGGCCCCGTCTGCTCTGCCCGGTCCAGCGGTCCGCCGGGCCCGCGGCGGCCCCCGGAGCCGCCACAGCTCCTGCGGGCCGCGCGCCCGGCCGCCGGCGCTGACGAGACGGAGCTCGCGGCCCCCGCGGAGGAGCAGGAGCATCGATGCGGTTCCAGAGCCGATTCCAGCGGTGAGAGGCCAGCGCCCCGGGCCCGGCGCCCGCGCGTGTGGGGCCCGGCACCCCGCCCGCTCCTCCTCTCGTGTTCCTGGGACTCCCCGCCCCGCCGTCCCCGGGCGCCCCCGCTCCGGGAGCGGGGCTCGCGCCGGCCCGGGTCCCCGCTACTCGCTGCGGGCTGCAGTGCCCAGCCCTCGGACCCCAGTTGCCCTCCCAGGGCGTCGGTGGCCCGCCCGGCTTCGCCCTGCAGGGACAGCCTTTTGCTTGGTCTGGGGACCTGAACGCCGGCCGCAGGCACCGGCCCCGGATCTTCCGACCCCAGCCTTGGCCTGCACCCCTGACCGGGCTTGGGGGGCCCCCGAGGCGCCCGGACCCGAGCCAGGTTGCCCAGCCGGGGTGCTGAGGGTTTCCGGCGCTTTGTCTTTGAATGGCCGTGGTGGTGGGGGAAACTGAGGCAGGCTCTGCCGGTTTAGGCTTGCCTGCGGGGTTCTCGGGGTTCAAGTCCCAGCGTGTGCTATTTTGGGGCACCGCGCCGGGGCAGGTTAGCTTCTGGGCGGTGAGAACTGCAGTTGAGGCGCCTGGGTTAGGAAACGAGGAACCGAGGAGGCCCCCCGGAAGGCTGGCCTGCTGCTCTTGTGTTGGAGGGCCGGTGGGAACTCCAGTCTGGGGAGACACCGTAGCCTTAATCCTGACTCCAGGTCTCTGCCATCTAGCAATGAATGGAGGCTGGCCATAATTCGAGAGGAAGCTCTGCGCTTTTTTTATTTCCCCCTAATTCTCCTTCGTGTAAGTGGGTGAAAGTTCACCTCTCGTGTGTTTGTGGTAACTCTCCATCCCTTTGTCTGAATCAGGCAGGCATCCCCACTCCCAGGCCTTCACCCTGAGCAGGCTAGCTTAGTGTGCAGTGGCCGGGGGGAATTAAAAAAAAAAAAAAAAAAGCATGAAATCTCCCAAGGTTTTTGTTGAGTTTTTAGGCATTGCTTTTTATTACAAGATTTTAAAGTACGCTTTTTTTTTTCCTTTCTTTCCAATGCTTTAACCCCTAGAAACCCTCTCACCTATTCTGCTGGTCTCATTCCTTCTCCAGAGTGACATTTGCACAGGGAGAGTTGGGGTGATCAGGGTGAAGACTTGGATTAACTTTTGAACATTGCTTATCACTCAGGGTGTTGAATGCCTGGCGGTGTTCACCTAATGGGAACATCATATCAGTTCTTCCAAAGGCAAAAGGGAACCATGATGTTCTGGCTTTAGAACATGAAGTCAGCCATGAGGACTGGAGGGGCTTTACGGGAGGATGTAACCCAGGTTCGGCAATGGTTGGCAAAACCCTGTATGTGTGGTTTGTTTGATTTGGTTTTACTTCTCTGCACATCTGTGCTCTTCCTGTTTTCCGGGAACAGTGGCAGTATTCTGTGCATTTACCGGTTTTTGTTAGATTAAAGAGTTCTATTTCTTTTCTATCCTTTCCATTCTTCTCCACAAAAAGAAGGGAAAAAAGGAACTTGTGTTATTGTTTGTTGTGCAAACATTAACAATGTTAAGAGGAATGAAAAACAAACACATCTTTATTTAAGATCCTACCATCTCAGCTGACTTAATTCTTCTATTTTGCTGGACATGAATCTATCCAGTCCTTATTATCACAATTGTAATGTGATTTTGTGCTCTACTCCATTCATTTAAAAATTAAAAGTACAGGCATTTTCTTTTGATATAGCATAGACATTGTAATTTCTGCAGCAACTGCACAATGTCAGTGAATATTTCATAGTTATTTTCTTGATGACATCTAGACCTACCCTGATTTTCTTTGCAGAATGAATGATCCCATAATTTCTTGTTTGGAAAGATATTTCTATAAATCAATTTGAACTTAGAAATAAAGTCTGCAAATAAGTAATATATTGTGGTCTGTACATTAACATATTGAGAGTACTGTTCTGCACCTCTTAAAAGCTGTGTTTGTTATCCGTCTTGTGAGCATTTAGGATAGTTACAGGTTGTAAATGACAGAGGAACTAGAAAAAGGAACACACTTATCTTTGAGCCCCTGTGTTCCTTCTGATAGATTCACCAGGACTCCATTGGAGAGCATTTGACTGCAGTAAAAACATTTCATTAGCCCATCCTTTGTGGCTGTGTCTTAATTATAAGAAAACTTGAACCCCCTGCTGGCTTGTTCATAATGGAAATTTGGCGGTCACTGTGGCTTTAGATCAACTTCCAGAGCTCTGCCATATCTGGAGAAGAGCTGTAAGGACGCCTAACCCGGTATAGTAAGTGGAGGGCTTTATGCAGGCATGGCTCCACAAAAATCTTAGGATGTGAAAAATCCGACTGGGACACCTTTTATCTGTTGTGCTGTATCCCTTTCACACTTGATTCCACCCCCACACAGAGTCATTCTCTCCCTTTCACAGCATCTCTGACTGATTAGAATACTTGCTAACGTTTATTGAATGCCTGTTGGTGCCAGGCAATAGCTGGGTATTTGTAGATAACTCATCTCATCTCTAACTGTAACCCTGAAAAGCAAACTTTCTACCCATTTAATAGAAGAGCCTTAGAGAATAAAAGAGAGCCTGCCATCATCGCACAGCTGGAAAGGGGCAGACAGAAGGGTTCATGTCCCTTTCTGCCACCCATGCAGCCGTTTACCTCTGTCTCCCTGCCCACACACAACATCTCCGAGATAGTGCAGAGGCCTAGGACCCAGAGCTTCTAAAGTGCCTCACTGCTGTCTTGTTGGTGTGTGCCCGTTTCTCGAGCCTGGCAACCAGAAATCCAAGGAGAAGGATACTGCTTTCCGTAGCTCCAGCCTCGTGACCGCTGGTTAGTTTCAAATTGAATATGTGGTAAGGCATCTTATTCTAAAGCATTAGGAAGTGTTCCAGCGCTGCCTGTGGCCTCTTTTTTTGTTCCAAGTTCTCAGAGCATTGAATCATACACCGAAATTCAGTGAACACTGAAGAACATTGAAGTTTCCTTATATGTGCCATTTCCCTTACTTAGTAATTAAGTTAAATGTCCCCCACCGGTATCTCCACCTCTGGCCGCAGACACTTTTTCCTAAACATCATGCTTATTCATACAGGACAGCTAATCGTAAGGTTGTCGTAGGGATCAGTTCTGTTGCTCCATCAAATGATGCTGAAGGAGCCCTTGAAATGTTCATGGTCTTATCCTTTGTCCATTTTGTTTTCACGAGATTGAGGATTCTCTTGGCTCGAAGACTGCTTGTTTTTATTGCATACAGAAATCCGCAGTGAAACTAACTGATGACAGGATCTCTCTCAGTTAGGATAATAAAATGCTTCAGCAGCAGGCAAAATCTCTGTCTTTTTATTCTCATTCAACGCTTATTTATTAAGCTCCAACAATCAGCAGGACTTTGTGTTTGGGCCTGGAAATGAGAAGGTAGACAAGGCAGCCTTCATGGAATTCACTTTACAGTGGGGAAAGATGAAATAAAAAATACACCAAGTTCAAAAGCTCCAGTTCTTACTAACCATGATGAGGGCTCCACTGAATTGGTACTTAAGTAGGATGGTTGAGCTGAGTTTGAGAGGTGAGAGGAGGGCTGGGCACACTGGAGGAGAATGTTCTGGGCAGAAATAAACAGCGAACACAGATGCTCTGAGTCAGATCAGACCTGGTTGGTTTGAGGAGCAGCAAGGCCGTGATTGGCTGGAGGAAGGGAGCCCCCAGCTGGAGAAGTCGGGAGGGCTCGCCGCCCGCAGAGGAGGTGGTGTTCCCAAGCACTTTGGGAAGCCAGACAGGTTTTAAGCTGGGCTTAGCGTGTGATGTGATCTGGTGGTAACAGACTCGTGGCTGCTGGGGAAAGAAGAGAGTCCGTGTGCGGGCGGGCAGGGAGACCAGAGCCTTTGTTTACAGACCAGAGGACTCTATGTCTTGATATAAGGTAGTAACTTTGAAACTGTAGAGAGTGGGACTGTTTGGGAATATATTTTGAAGATAGCACAGATGTACTTGCATTTGGAGTATGGGGAACACAGGAATCAAGGACAGCTTCTGAGATTTGATCTCAGGCTCTGAGGTCTGATGGAGCGTTGCGGATTTACCTTCAGAAGGCCCTGCTTTGGGCTAAAGATTTGGGGGGAGGTGGGGAGGCTGTGCTGTAGCATGTGGGCCCTTTCTTGGGGCACAGGGGCTTCCTCCGGGCTTTCCATGAGACACTGCTGGCAAAGAACCCCCCTGCCAGTGCAGGAAACCTAAGAGACCCGGGTTCAGTCTCTGGGTCAGGAAGGTGCCCTGGAGGAGGGCATGGCGACCCACTCCAGTATTCTAGCCTGGAGAATCCCATGGACAGAGGAGCCTGGCGGGCTGCTGTCTGTAGAGTTGCAAAGAGTCCGGACAACTGAAGTGACTTAGCAAGCACGCGTGGGGTTTCTCTAGTTGTAACACTTGGTGGGGGGGCGGCGGGGACGGCGGCGGCGGCTTCTGTTGTTCCGGCGTGGGCAACACACCCGGTGTTAGGATGTTTTCTAGCATTGGATGGCCATCAGGACGGCTTTGCTTTAAGTGGAGGTGTCTTGCCTAAGTGGGTGCTGTTTCCCATAACCCTTGAGAACCTTCCTCATTCTTTTTTGGGGGAAAAGAACAGCCTCAGTGTGTGGGGTTTATTTGCATTTTACATCTGCTTTTCCTGTAGGTCTTGGGTGACTAATTTCTTCTAATGATTTCTTCAAGAGGCAATGGGAGGCATGATTGTATCAGAGAGAAGTGGAAAAATGTAAATTTCCTGGCAGAACCATGTGCCATCCCACAGGGCCCCAGACGGAGCCTGGCATACCTGCTCTTCCCTTTCCTTGTTGCCAGGATCTTGACCCTGCTTTTAAAGAGAAACTACCTTAAGTCACACGGGCAGAATATTTTTCTCTGCAACTTCTGAGTTTATTTTTAACCTGAGTGATTCCAGGTGGGCACAAACATGTTAACACACATGGCCACTCAGCTTCCTTGCTTTTAAAGTCTATCCCTGTCTCTGTGTTATAGCCTGACTATTTTTAGACTGGGCTGCCAGAGATATAAATTGCTATTTTAGTCTGCAGGCTGATGGTGGGTGGACAAACCCTACTGAGCGTGCCCTGCACAGAGAGCTCGCAGTTTAAGCTGCCCCCAGCCGCCCTGGAGCCCTGCTCTTTACAGTCCCTAGTGGGGGGTGATGCTTATAGCCCTGTCCTTACGTCTCAGGCTGAGAATCGGTAGGCCCTCGAATGCTGGGGACACTTTTAAAGACTCCTTCCCAAGAGTGTAATTATTTTCCTTTTTACTAATAACTGCCGTGTAGCAACAGTCTCGTCCCTTAGGAAATTAGTGAAATTATTTAAAGGATTGTCAGGGGAGAAAAGATTTATTTATCTGTGTGTGAGAATATCTTGAAATAATTCTGAAGCTGTTAACTGTACACTTCTCTCTAACAGTTTCCAAGCCATGTGATGAATCCCATTCAGTATGTGTATCTTTTTGCATGTTAGTTAGGTAGCTGCCCATTGCTGTTCCAGGGAAGGTATCTTCACAGTGCCAAATCCATTCCCTAGGCGATCTTCCACTCAAACTTTCAACGTTGGGTTGGCAGGGACTGCCACTTGATCTTTACTCATTTGCTCTAGGGATACCAGGCCCTTCTTTAATTCAGGGAGAAAGTGTTGGCTGGTCTTCTGTTTATAAACTGGACACTTTGGAATTGCTTGGCCACGTGTTTTAGTCAGTTTTTGGCAACCTGTCTGTGCCATTCGGTTTAGCCTGGTACCATTTTTCCATTGTGTGAATTGATAAGACATGACTAGTCAGAACTCATTAGTGACGAGTAACACCGTCTCCTCCCCCTACCCACACCCCCTCAGCTAACTCAAGCCAAAACCTCCATTATTGTGCAAAGCCTGTTGACATCTTGCAAGCCCCAAGCCCAGGAATGCTGCTTGAATGCTCAGACCTGAGTGTCACCAGGGCGCTCAGACCCAGATGCCACCACGGTGCCCTCACCGTTGTATGCTCTGCATCTGCTGCTTTCAGACAGTTGCCTTCTTACCTGCCTGAGCTTATATCTTACTCCTTCCAAAGAACACAGACTAAACCAGACTCCTTCGTGAAACACGGCGGGGGTGTGAGTTGGGCTTGGGGACCCTCACCCACACGCTGAAACAGAAGGCAGCTGTTTCTCTCTGTAATGCACAGCGGTATTGGTGCTCTTCACTGCTTTGCTGGTTGCCACAAAATCAGCCCAGAGAGGGACTGGAACATGGACACGTCTGTCTGTATGGTATAGACCTTACACCAAATGCTGGTGCTTAGATACAGGCACACTTTGGGCTTCCCAGGCGGCTCAGTGATAAACAGCTCGCCTGCCAATGCAAGAGATGGAAGAGACGCAGGTTCAGTCCCTGGGTTGGGAAGATCCTGGCTACCTGCCCCAGTACCCTTGCCTGGAAAATCCCATGGACAGAGGAGCCTGGGGCGGGGTGGGTCACAAAGAGACGTGACCGCGCATGTGCACTCATGAGTGTTGTGGCCAGTGCATCAGGCGCTAGTCACATTTAGATTTTGAAGCAAACTCTTTTAGTTCAGGAAGAATGCAGGTGAAAATGAACCCCTTGTTTCAAGTGGCCTGGAGGCAGCCAAGTATCATTTATTTAAGCTCCCTGGTGCTGGAACAGGTAATGCAATACAGGGAAACTAGTTTGGCAGCCCTGCTGATAATGGGATGAAGCCTTTAAAGATCTACATGTATAAAGCTTTATACATTTTGAGAGACAAAATAGGAACTTGCAAATGCATTGAATTCACACTAAATCGTGGTTACTGGTATTTGTAAAGTTTAGGGAAATGACCTTGATTTTTTCGATTTCAGATTTGGTTGTGCCATTTTAATTTTTTTTTTTTTTTAACTAACCCAGTTGAAGAGTACCAGTTGAAGGGGATAGATGTGAGTTTTGTTTGCTTTTGGTTGGTAGGTTTTTTTTTTGAATGAATTGAAAGAATACTAATCCAGTTAACTAGGGCATTCACTTTAGACCACGGCTTTGGTTCAGTTTACACCAAAGCTTTGTGGCTTTGGTTTTATTCCAGTAACTAGGTATTTCCAGCAGTCACCTCTTCAGTTAGAATAGACCAGACAACCTCTGACAAGCTTTCCCATCGTTCTTTACACACTCTGAGATTTTCTCATGGGATGTCTTTCTTTCTACAGGTTCATGAACCACCGGGCCCCCGCCAATGGCCGCTACAAGCCAACTTGTTATGAACATGCTGCTAATTGTTACACACATGCGGTGAGTACAAGCTTTCTGCCGTTTCCATGCTTCCCAAGCACTTTGGTGGGAAGAAGGGGCGATCATCTCTGTCAATCTCAGCCCCATTAATCCAGTTCACCCATCCCTGTGACCTTTCCTGACCAAGTATCAGTACTCAGTCATGTCACCAGAAACTGTGAGCCTGTCAGATACTTTGAATGCTCTGACCTACAGTCAGCTCTGTTGATCCTGAATTTGCTTTCTCAGATAAGATCTTCTTTGAAAGAAAGTAAGTGTTTAGCTATAAGAAAAACCAAACGAAATTATTTGCAAAGACTGTCACCCCTGGAAGGAAATGAATTACCTTTTCAAGACAGTCAGCTGAGTTCATTTAGCAAGAAGAATTCACCATTTGCTGAGAAAGATTTTCTCCCCCAGTGATCCCCGAAAACAGGTAGCCATATCCTTCCCATCCCCACGGTCGCCATTGCTTCTCAGAGCAGATGTTAGTCCTCACTGTAAAAGAAAAGTTTAATTCCTGAATTCAGTTTTTCTTCCTTCTAAAAGCAAAGCATGTTCACTTTAAGAAAAATGGAAAATACTGAGAAATACATAAAAAAGCAAAACTACCTAGAAAGTGAAGTTGCTCAGTCGTGTCTGACTCTTTGAGACCCCATGGACTGTAGCCCGCAAGGCTCCTCCGTCCATGGAATTTTCCAGGCAAGAACACTGGAGTGGGCTGCCTTTTCCTTTTCCAGGGGATCTTTCTGACCCAGGGACTGAACTCAGGTCTCCTGCATTGCAGGCAGACTCTTTACCAACTGAGCGACCTGGGAAAGCCAGTGTTTGTGTTTATGTGTATATTTTCATAGTTTCCCTATTAATTTCATTTTATTAGCATTTTCTTGTGTCATTATAAATTTCCTTTTATCTATGATTTCATTATTCCCTTTGAAAGTTGCATCTAGTGAAATTTTCTGAGGGGAAAATGGTGGCTGGTATATAGTCTGAAGATAAAAGATAGTGATCAATTTATCCCTTTAGTGAAGAGTGTTTAGAACAGGCTAATTCAGTTATTTTAGACAGTGTTAGTATAATATGTAGGTTACATATAAATGTTATTAGAATAAAATTTGCTTGAATTCAAGTTGTGTCTTTTCATTTCTTTAAGCCCCTTCCGCAAAGAATAGTCAGTGTTTTCTACAAAGGAACGTGATACCAAATAAGCCTGAAATACACTCGTTTGGGTAGATTCCCTCGCAATCTAATAGAACAATGCTGTGTGGTCATTACTTAGCAGAAATCAGACTTTCCAAAGTATCATAATAAAGTGACGTGAAAGTGTTAGTCACTCAGTTGCATCCAACTCTTTGCGACCCCGTGGACTGTAGCCCACCAGGCTCCTCTGTCCGTGGGATTCTCCAGGCAAGAACACTGGAGTGGGTTGCCATGCCTTAGTATTATAGTAGTAGAATTCAAATGTTATTTGTGGTATCGAAATGTTATTCTCTTTTATCACTGTCCTTTTTCTTTAGGTGCTCAAAAGATTTTTATTTAAATAATTGAAATGCTGAAATCTTGCTGAATATTTTTTCTTTAGAAAAGAGTTTCTACCTACTTTGTAGGTAGTTTCTACCTGCTTTGTTTATACATGCTTGCCCTGGATTTCAGTAATGAAATTTGGAGTAACCTCACTAGTGGAGACTTCCCTGGACCTGTGGCTTAGATTCTCAGGCCAGGAAGGATTTGGTGAAGTTCTCTAGACTTGAGCTGACCCCTGTCTTTGCATTAATGACACACACTTTGTGAAGTGAGCTTCACAACACCAGAGGGTCAAAATGTGTAGAGTCCAAACTTAAAGAATGCACAGCCTAATTTGATTGTTAGCTGTACTTTCTAGATATCCATCTTTTATTCTTTTTTTTAGTTGAAGTGTAGTTCATTTACAATATTATGTCAGTTTCAATGGTACTGTAAAGTGATACAGTTTTATTTATATATACATACACACACACATATATATATATATATATATATATACACACATTTTTCTGATTATTTTTCATTTGTTGTTGTTCAGTCATTAAGTCGTACCTGACTCTTGTGACCCCATGGACTGTAGCACGCCAGGTTTCCCTGTCCTTCACTATCTCCCAGAGTTTGCTTAAATTCATGTCTGTTGAGTCAGTGATGCCATCCAACCATTTCATCCTCTGCCACTCTTCTTTTCCCTTCAGTCTTCCCAACATCAGGGTCTTTTTCAATGAGTTGGCTCTTCGCATCAGGTTGCCAAGGTATTGGAGCTTCAGCTTCATCATCAGTCCTTCCAATGAATATTCAGGATTGATTTATTTTAGGATTGACGGGTTTGATCTCCTTATAGTAGAAGGGACTCTCAAGAGTCTTACTCAGCACCGCAGTTTGAAAGCATCTATTCTTCAGTGCTCAGCCTTCTTTATTGTCCAGCTCTCACACTTGTACATGACTCTGGAAAAACCATAGCCTTGACTATATGGACCTTTGTCAGAAAAGTGATGTCTCTGCTTATTAATACACTGTCTGGGTTTGTCATAGCTTTCTTTCCAAGGCACAAGCGTCTTAAAATTTCATGACTGCGGTCACTGTCCACAGTGAATTTGAGCCCAAGAAAATAAAATGTGTCCCTGTTTCCATTTTTTCTCCTCCTATTTGCCATGAAGTGATGGGACCAGATGCCATGATATCATTTTTTTTTTTTTTTGGATCATTTTTTGAATGTTGAGTTTTAAGCCAGCTTTTTCATTATAGGTTATTATAAGATGTTGACTATAGTTCCATTTGCTATACAGTAAACCTTTGAGCTTTTCTATTTGTCTAGTGGTGTGTATTTGTTAATCCCATAGTACTACCTTGTCCCCCACTCCCCTTTCCCTCTGGTTCTCCTGTTTATTTTCTATGTCTGTGAGTCTGTTTCTGCTTTGTATATAGATTCATTAATTTTGTTTTTTAGATTTCACATATAAGTGATATCATATATTTCTTTGACTTACTTCACTTAGTATGATAATCTCTAGATCCCTCCATATTGCTACAAATTGGCAATATTTCATTTTTTTAGGACTGAATAATATTCTATTATGTGTGTGTGTATGTATATATGTATGTATGTGTATATGTTTATACATATCCCACCTTCTTTATCTGTTCATCTTTTGATAGACATTTGGGTTGTTTCCATTTGTTATTCTTAACTAAATGTCTGATGAATTTAACAGAGCTAAAAGTAAAGTTATTTCTTAAGATAATTGTCCATAGGCCCTTAAGAAAATAAGCGTGTGTGTGTGTGTATGTGTGTGTATGTATTAAGTCTACATCAGGATTAGGATATAAGGGATATGAAAGTTTGAATAAAAGCTTATATGGCCTTTTCTTTCACTTACTGTTCCAGTATACAGCTATCATTTTATCCATTTACCAACAACAAAGTACTGATAAAAGTTAGAAAAACAGTGTCCTGATAGTTTTCAAAATACTGATCTATAAAAGCAACCAGTGAAGTGCTTATTATTTAGCATAATGCTGAGCATTTAAATATAATTCGTTGTTGAGATGCACAGGTCACCTTTAAGAATAATATTTTCTTGAAATAGGCCTGAATAATCCTTTAGTTTATCTGTCCTGGATGGTCATCAGGAACACTTACATAAACCAGAGTTAAGGAAAAACTGACAAAACATACACATTAATTTTTTAGAACAGAAAATGTCATCTTATTAAACTTACTAAACTGTATCCCTGATTTTTGGATTTCAGAGAGCACTAAAATTTCTAAAATCGACAAAACAAGAAACTTACATCTAAATTTTCATTAACAGGAAGATACTTTAACATAAAAAAAAATAGAAAGGACAGAATCTCAAAGTTTGTTTTATGAAAAACTACTTTGTTGTTCCTAATTTTCACATTTTGTTCTGGGCCATTATAATCAGCATTTGAAATTCAGCGCTGATCTTGTCTGGAGGATTTAATATTCTGTTGTGAGAGAGAAAACATAGGTGTTGGAGACAAAAATAGATGAGATTTCTAAAGTTTGCATTCTTTGCCAGGTATGTTTACTCTGGTATCTAATAAAGTATTTCTTTGGATGAGTTCTATTATTATAAAATGTTTATTAGTCATACTGTTATGACTAGACTTTGCACTTTGTGTCCATATGTAGTGTAAAATATGGTGCAAAAGCAAAATTCCCTCTTAAGATTCTCGTCTCTTAAAATTATTTGACTCGGTAGGAGTGGATTACCCTTGTCTATTTGAAAGGTACTATTAAAAATGAAATAACCCGGGAATGTTCCTGGTGGTCCAGTGTCTGAGGTTCCATCCTCCCAGGGCAGGGTGCCTGGGTGCAATCCCTGGTTGGGAAGCTAGATCTCGCATGCTGCCACCAAGATCTGGCATAGCCAAATAGGTAAATAAATCTCAAAAAATGGGATAACCCAAAGACCCTCTCACCCCTTTCATTCTGCAGTAGCCCCCAAACTGGTGGAATGTAGACATCCCGACTAGAAAGGAGGACCTATGATTGGACAAATGATTTGAGTGTGGTATGTGCATTATACTTACTGATTTGATTCATTTAGTTACCCTTTGCTGAAATTTGGGGTTTCAGTAGCACTTTGGGAAAACAGGAAAGACTATCTAAAGATCAAGTCATCCCTGGGAAATCTGGGTACATGCTTGGTAGCGAAATTAGGTTAGAGGACGTTTGTTTTGCAACAGTTGAGTAATTTTGCTGCCTGACTGTCCCCATTGGCAGGCACAGGTTCCAGGCCCTAAACACAATACCTGTTCTCACTTGGGCAAAACGTCAGCTGGTTCTTGTTCTAATTATCCAGGAAAGGAAATTTGTTTTAAAGTGATCTTCCTAAAGTTGTCCCTGGTAAACCTGGGTATTTTTAACAGTTCTCAGTTCAGTGTTTTACTGAATTTTTATTTTTCTTTCCATTTCTCTCAGTTCCTCATTGTTCCGGCCATTGTGGGCAGCGCCCTCCTTCACCGGCTCTCTGATGACTGCTGGGAAAAGATAACAGCTTGGATTTATGGAATGGGCCTCTGCGCCCTCTTCATTGTTTCCACAGTATTCCACATCGTAGCATGGAAAAAGAGCCACTTAAGGTACCGTGAATGGCAGCTGTTTCCACAGGTCACACAGAATAACTGGTTCAGGTTGGCTTCTCTTGCTGGCATGCTTTGGGCAGGGGAGGCAAGGAGTGGACATTTCCCTTCCTGGCAGACTCAGCTGTCGCATTGCTCAGGAAATTTTCTGTGGACTGGAAGGAGTTTGAGGACCCCCATGTGTATCTTTAAAAGGCCCGTCTTTGTTCAGAAAACAGACAAAACCACATTGCTGGGAATTCCCTGGCAGCTCAGTTAGGACTCTGCACCCTCATTGCTGGAGCCCTGGGTTCAGTCCCTGCTCAGGGATCCTGCAAGCCCCGCTGCACAGCTGAAATAAAACCCAACCAGCCAACAAGCAAACAAACCCATGTTGCTTCCCTGGGGCTGACCGTGTGGAATCCTGACGCCTGTTTTCCGCTGTAGCTGCGGGGTGGTGGGCAGTACCCTGGACTTGGACTCATCAGTTGGGTTTTGAGTCCCAGCCCTGCAACCTAGCCTCAGTTTCCTCATCACTAAAATGAGAATGGTAATGCCCGATTGGTGGGCTGTTGTGATAGGTGAATGAAATGAGGCATGTGAGAGTGACTAAAATTTACAATCACTGCAGCTAGACTGCAGGTACATTACAGCTCGGGTTACTGTTTTGCAAAGTTCAGCTTTCAGAATTAGGTCCAGTGTATCTACTCAAACAAAACACACGTATGTTGCTACTTATTAGCTATTAAACGCTTTACAAACAATACTGTGGTCCCTCGCCTCCCAATGAAAAGGACATAAAAGCACTCATCCTTTGAGTGACGGGTTAATATGGGGGAATACAAAGGTAGAGCACACCGTTTAGTTGCTTATGAAATAGATTCTGCACAACCCCAAAGGGCAAAGTTTCTTCTCTGAAAGGAAGATTTAGAGTAGACCTAAAGCGACTTGATGTAATATTAGAAGATAATTTTTGGTTTTATAGAATGTTCAAAGAAATCTCAAGCTATTTGGACAACCTGACGTTAAAAAGATACGCTTTATTTAAAAGCAGGATTTGGGATTCTGCTAGCGATGAGATGGTTGCTAGCTTCCTCACATTTAAAGATCAGAGCTTTAGAACCAGAAGGACCCTTACGGAACGTCTAATCCAAACCCCATCATTTTCACCCGGGGAATCAGACCCAGAGAAGCGCCCTGACTGGCCCGAGTCAGTGGTAACCAGCGGAATCTGGTCGTCTCAGGTCCTCTGACTCCGGTTCTGAGGTTTACTTCCACCGCACCCTTCACATTATTGCTTATAGCTTGTAGTCTGCTACCTTCACCCAGAAGCTGACAGCTCTGAGCTTAAAACCCCAGCGTTGAATCTTGAAGGAGCCGTGGGACGCACTCAGGCAAGCCTGCAAAGTACCTGTCCTGACTTCAGGACACGCTGTCGCAGAGGCCAGAGCACCTCATTATCTTTTTGGCATAGTGCAGTGCCTGTGATTGCCTTGTCTGACTTGGCTTTGCTGGCTAGATTTCTGAATCAATAAAGAGTTGTAGGTACCTGCTTCAGTATTCAGGGCCTCCCTGCCAGGGCCTGAGAAGAAGATGTAAGAGAAACCAGTCTCTCTTGAACCTTGCAGTAGCACTCCTAGAATCATAAGCTATGGGTGGACTTCTGCTCTGAATTAATTCTTAAAAATATCCCAGTATATCCTTAATTTAAGTAAAAGAGGGAAGGGAATGAGCATTGGTTAAGTACCTACTGTGTGCTGGGTGCTGTCTAATCACATGCCTACATCATCTCATTTAATGCGCGTACACACTCTGATAGAGATGATGTTATTTCTGTTTTACCTGTGAGGAGGGTGAGTGTCGGAGAGGCGGGTGGTGGGATTTTATTTTTTTTAATATTTTATTTGTTTATTATTTTGGGGGCTGCACCAGGCGTTAGATGCTGCAGGTGAACTCTTCGTTATGGCAGGTGGGATCTAGTTCCCACGCCAGGGCTCACGCCCGGCCCCCCGCGCTGGCAGCGTGGAGTCTCAGCCCTGGGCCGGAGGGCAGTCCCTGGGGGGTGGGTCTTGAACAAGCTGCAGTTTGACTTTGGGTGCTGCCTCCATCTGGAAAGCAGAATTAGAAAGGCCAGAACTGGCTCAGAATCACAGTCGTACAAGCAGTTAAAAAAAGAGATTCCCCTCTTCCCTCCACCTCTGCCTATCTTCTAGCCCTGTTAGGTCAGCGTCTTCTGGACTGGAGTTTGTGACTGTATTGTGGCTTCCCCGGGCGATTCTGAAAGGCAGTCAGGCTTGAGAACATTAGTGTAGTGACCAGCACTCTGGCTGAACACCCTCGGCCTGCCTGGCCGCTGCAGTGTGTGTGGTGAGGCAGGTCTAATGCTGGTGAACCACCAAAGCCATCGTGTCCACCCCTTGGGCCGGAAGTGGATTAAAGACAGCGCAGTGCGTTTGTCCTTTTTACGTTCCCTCAGCGAACGGCAGATCCGGTTTTATCCGCTCTGTGCATAGACCTCAGGGAGCCAGATCGTGCACACTTCCGGACCCTTCAGTTGCGGAAGGAGAAAACCTGCTTCGAAGCGCAGGTGGCTACCCTCTTGACAGCAGATACACCTTTTTTCCCCCTTGTTTGTGTCGTTGCTGTTCCTAAATTAGTTTCTAAATTTGCTTTATTGCAGCTTACTGTCTGCATTAAGGTATTTGGAGTAAAGGCTGCTTCAGAGACTTTCTAAAAAGACTGTGGCTTGAGGGAGCATTTTACTGAGCCTTCACAGATTTGTGCCCTGCACTATGGTAGGGGTTGAGAGGTGGTCTGCCCTCAGGGAACTTCATTTTCCTGTTAGATAGGATCTAAAAGAAATGGAAAACATCAGAAAGCACAGATTTTGCTTGTTATTTTTTAACAATTTCAGAGTTTCTGATTGTTGTGGGATTCCTACATGGAGAGGATCTTTGGTATGTGTAATCTTTAATAATAAAATAAAGCTTTTATTTGTGGCTTCATCTTATTAAAAAAAGCCGTGTGACTTTGAAAGCCAGTTTACGTGTGCCATGAGAACTGAGAACGGTGGCAGTCGTGGCCTAGTGGCGTGACAACCCCTACTTCCGGTCTCTCATTTCCTGAGAACTTGGTCTGATGTGTCTCCCCCGCAGGACGGTGGAGCATTGCTTTCACATGTGCGACAGGATGGTCATCTATTTCTTCATTGCTGCGTCCTACGCGCCGTGGTAAGATACAGTTTTTCTGTTTCTGAAGACAGCATTTTTATGAGAGAATTCTCAGTCCTTCTTCCCTCCTGTCTTCCTGTCCCTGCCCCCCACCCCCAAAAACATCCATACATGGTTTTTTTTTTTCCTTTCCCATTTTGATTTGCTTGAGTCAGATTGCAGATTTTAAGGAAAGAAGGTTGCTGACATTCAGAATACATATCTGCACTGGAATGTTTGAACGAAGTGCTACAAAGTTGTGTGTAGGCAGCACGTTCACTTTGGAAATATATTACCTTTGCCTTCCATATTCTTCCTCTATGCTTCTGCTATTCAGAATACTTGGACATCTAATTGTTTAAATGGAAATGCTATAATATATATATAAAGAAAACAAGCTAACTTTTGAAATTTATACTGCTTGTCTTCACAGCGCAGTAGCTACTATATGTGGAGTGCGTCTCTCGTTTCTTCAGCTATATGAATAAGAGAGCTAGCCTAATTAGTTAGCTATTTAAAATGCCTAGTATTCAGTTCAGTGTCCTGGTTCTTCCTGTCTTTTTGGTATAGACAAGATAGAGTCTTTTGCTGTTTTGAATCCGTAATTAAAGAAAAATTAGTTTTCCTCTACCATGGTGTGGTCCAGTTTTAACCACTAGGAAATTCATATTATGCTGTCAACTACTATAGTCATTACAAACAGCCAGTCTCTGGATTCTGACTAATGTGGCATCCATCATTCAAAAGAAACCTAATTATGTGTTGTAGTAAAAAAGTAAGTGCTGTCTCTCCCCAGTACCTGTTACTAAATTATAGGTCTGCATCATGTTGGAGCCAGAATACTTGGAGGCTTTTGTGAAGTATACCTCAATTTAAAATAAGTAAATAAAAATTTTAAATGTAGACTGAGGAAACAGATATTACAGTAAACAGTTTGTTCACATGTAAGTCTCCGATATGCAGATGGTACCTTTTCCATTTGGAAATATTAATTTTATAGTAATAGTCAATTCAGAATAACATTTTTTTCCCCATATCTATTCTTAATCAGAATTTAGTACAGATGAATTTGTGGCATTTTAAATTCAGGCTTCACAGGAGTCCATGGTTAAATTCTAACAAAATATCTTACATGACATATGTTGGGCTAATTCTTCTGATGTTTTCTCTTGGCAGAGATACTTGGTCTGTGTATTAGGTATCTGGTGTGTGTGTGTGTATGTGTGATCTGGGTCAGGGTTTTGTTCTCAGTAATCTTTGTAAACAGTCTGCTCTCAAGTACGCAGTCAGGAATGAGAAAGCAAGTGCCTTTGCAGCAGCCTGCCTAGTCAGGAAAGTCGGGTATCACAGTGTGCTGGGACTCACCTCTACATGTCTCCTTTCAGCTGGTTCTGTTTGTAAACCACACTGGAACTGATTCTAAGTCTTAAAGGTTGAACAACAGTTTTATCCTTAAGTTGTTAATTTTACCCCAGTTGCCCAAATACCTCCACCACATGTTGAGTGCTTTTCTTTCTGATCTTATCCTCGTACCTTCTCTCTCAGTTTTCAGGACTAGAGGAACACACAGGTTGTATGAATTCCTTTCATTTATCAGTTCTGTTCTCTGTTGTCATGTTTACATTTTTAGGTTAAATCTCCGTGAACTTGGACCCCTGGCATCTCATATGCGTTGGTTTATCTGGCTCATGGCAGCTGGAGGAACCATTTATGTATTTCTCTACCATGAAAAGTAAGAGAAAATAATTTACATTTAATACCTTTAAAATTAACTTCCTAAATTTTATCTACATTACAGTATGATTTACTTTATATTTGCACTTCAAAATAGTAGAAATACATAAACAGAATATATATTGTTTTAACAAATCGTCAGAACCATTTTCTCTTTATCATTGGCGGACAGATTGCTGCAGACAGATGAATGGTACCTGTGTAACACATGATGTAGCCAAAGGACAAAGTAGACTTCTCCCTCATCTGCAATGGCAGTTCAGTTCTGACTCCGAAATGAGTCAGACTTCACTTCACATCCTCAGCCAGTATCTGCAAACTAGCCTGATCCTCTGTGACTTACAGTTACCACATGAGAAAAATAACTTCTTTTCTAAGTTTCTAGGAAGGTTGAAGATAATCGACATTAAGCCCCCAGCATAACACTTAACCTAGTTAGGAACCCAGAGGCTGTTCCAACCTAGGACTCCTGGGAAGGGGGATGTTTGGAAGGGTATACAAACTCTTAGTATCCTCACCATGGAACACATTTTTTTTAACCTGTTATTCATAGGTCCTAGTGTGTGAAGCAGTATAAAAAGAAAGCTTATTGAAATTTAGCTTCTTAGTTCTAGAGGAGACCTTCAAGTCATCTATTTCTGCTTCATGCTTGAAAACTGAGAACATTTAGTACATGCATGAAATCAGTGACACATCTGGAATTAGGACCCAGGTGGCCTAGTTCCTATTCCATGGCTCTTTTCATCATTTCATATGCCTGAACTTGAGAAACTCACAACTATGAAATCATTTATTTGGATACAGTTTATTAAATTCTTTATCTGTTGTTTTTGGCAGAATAGCCCTCAGAATTGAATATAACGTGTGCTTATCACAAAGTAATAAATTGTTTTCTCTTTTCAGAAGAAAATAGTAGTTTTAGCTAGCTTCTCTCTAACTTTGATATTCACTTAAGTGCATTTTTGACCATAATTAGCAATTCTGAGTGGTGTTATGCATTATATATAGCCAAGGGAACAGTTTGCTTCTCAGACTCAAACCCCTAATTTATACCCTTGGATAAAATAGGAAGTTAAAGTAAGACAACTATTTTTTCTCCTATTTCAGGCCTTGTGATGTAAACCAAACCCACATTCTTCCTCAGTTCCCTGATATGATTACTTCCTAGTGAACTTTGAGTACAAAACACTAAGAACAAGATGCGAGTCACCCTTGGCCATTCAGTTTGGCAGGTATTAGGGAAAACCTAAATGGTGCCACAATACTGGTCTAGGCCCTGCAGGTCCAAACATAAATATACTTTGGTCCTTGCCTTCGAGGAAAAGTGTAGTTTGGCTAGGCATAAATATAACTTGAATTTCAGTACAGTATGTTTTTATAGCATTTTTCAGATAATCTGCATCTAAGGTGATGAGACTTACAAATTAAGAGTTTGTGCAGATACAAAATAGACAATCAGAAACATATTCCCTTAGTTCTTTAAGGCCCGCATCCCTTGGCCACTGATAGAGGAGGTGCCAAGCTAGTCCTTATGCAGCTTCATAATTTCAGTGTCTTATAGTGATGAATTGGAATGATGGTGAAGGCAAACACTGGGATTAGAAAGGGAAAGTGCATGGTTAATTGGATTCAATGATAACTTTTAGCTAAGAACATTTTCCATGTATCATGTAGAATTTGATGCCTTCTCAATCCTGAAAGGGCTTCCCCGGTGGCTCAGTGGTAAAGAATCCACCTGCCAATGCAGGAGATTCAGATTCAATCCCTGGGTCAGGAGGACCCCCTGGAGAAGGAAATGGCAACCCACTCCAGTATTCCTGCCTGGAGAATCCCATGGACAGAGGAGCCGGGAGGGCTAGAGTCCATGGTGTCACAGAAGGGTCAGATAGGATTTAATGACTAAACAACAACAATCCTGAAAGAAATATTAGTTCATTGTTACTCAACTACAGTATTTCAGTTAGAGGCTTAATGGTCTCCTATAGGGAAAATACATTTCATTTGAAATGAAATACATTTCATTAAGAGTTTAATTTGTTTTTCAAAAGAGAAAAAAATTGGTAAGGAAATGGTGTAAGTGTTGTAGGAATAGATAAATTACGTTAACACCTTTCTCTTCTGCAGGTATAAGGTGATTGAGCTCTTTTTCTATCTCACAATGGGCTTTTCTCCTGCCTTGGTGGTAACATCAATGGTAAGAAGCTTCTTCATAATTTAGTTATTTCCCTTCCCGCCCGCCTCCCCACCTGGCAGCCACAGCTGCCTTTTCTGAGTCTGTGGACCTGTATCTGGTTTGTAAATAAGGTCATGTGTTTCATTTCTTTTTAGATTGCACCTAGAAGGGATGTCATAAATCTTTCTCCTTTGACTTACTGCACTCAGTTTGGCAGTCTCCAGGACCATCCATGTTGCTGCAAATGGCATTAGTTCCTTCTGTTTAATGGCTTGTAATATTAAAAACATTACTCAATTATAGTGGAGTTATATTCCACTGTATACATGTACCACATCTTCTTTATCCATTCCTCTGTTAATGGACATTTAGGTTGCTTTCATGTCTTGGTTATTGTAAACAGTTAAATTAATGACTTCTTAAAATTTAAGCATTGGAAGGACTTCAGAAGGTCATTTGGCTCAACATTTTATTGGATATTCCTTGAATACCTTCACTCTTACTTCCTTTCACTTGCTTTTAAGTCATGTTATTTCTCTTTCCAAGAAAGTGCTTTTTTTTTTTTTTTTTTAACTTTGCCTGAAATTTTCCTTGGGACTCTAATGAGGGGAAGCGAGGCATTACCTGTAGGAGTCAGTTGCACGTATGTTTTGTACCCCCAGTCAGACTAATCAGTGTTGAGAAATCCATGTGTATTTGTCAGTTTGGAACAGTAACGTAACGACCTCACAATCCCGCCCACTGGTCCCTTGTGCCTTTAGCTTATGTATTTCCAGTCTATACTCTGCATTTTTGGGCACTGGCTATGGGTATTAATTAAGGAAGTCATGATTTGTTTACTTGAACTCTCTTCTTAGCCTGCAAGGGTCAGAAATATACCTATTTCACTCCTGAGCTCACAGGTACTCTGTAAGAATTTTTCTGTGTATAGTTCTCACCCTGGTCACAAAAATACCTGTAAAGGATTTAGGATTTATGTTTGCTTATGTTTTTTCAGAGGGTATGTTTTATGAGATTGTAACAAGATATGTTCTTTGAGATATGAGATTTATAATGGCTTTAGTAATTTACCTTGCACCAAAAATATATGTAGTTTAGTTGGTAAAGGCAACAGGGAATGATGAGAGGAGGGAAGTGAAAGACGGAAGTGAGAAAATCTGCCTGGAAGGCGATTGAGGACACCCAGAGCAAGGTCTGTTTGATGGGTTACTAATCATTAGAGTGAAGCTTCAAGTAAATTCCCTCTGGGTATTGTAAAAACAAGTTTATCCAGTATTTTTACTAGTGTAAATCTTTCATGGACATTTTCAAGTAGTACAATAACAGGTGACTACTGTTCATGTTAATCAAACAGGAAAATTCCCACCCTTGCCCTGACAGAACTTGGAATCAAGCAGAAAAGTACAATTCATATAAAATGAGAAGCGGCCGTCAAGTTTTATGTCTCTGACTGGGTAAGGTGCAGCCTGCTCTGGGAGCACCTGTCAGAGGTGCCAGAGGAAGTGCTGTTTAAGCTGATTCAGGACTAATAGGAGCCAAGAGATGAAAGAGTGGTGCAAGTGGCATGGAAGATGGACACAGCGTGAAGGAAGTCCCGGAGGACGGGCACGGCGTGAAGGGAGTCCCGGAGGACGGGCACGGCGTGAAGGCAGTCCCGGAGGACGGGCACGGCGTGAAGGGAGTCCCGGAGGACGGGCACGGCGTGAAGGCAGTCCCGGAGGACGGGCACGGCGTGAAGGGAGTCCCGGAGGACGGGCACGGCGTGAAGGAAGTCCCGGAGGACGGGCACGGCGTGAAGGAAGTCCCCGAGGGCGGACACGGCGTGAAGGAAGTCCCGGAGATGGCGAAGCAGGAGCGTCTGAATGTGATTTTACATGTGAGGGGTGTGACCATGGAGGTAACACAAGTTCTGTGATGAAACCTGTGGGCGGGACAGAGACCAGGACGAAAGGAACCACACGGGCCATCTGAAGGAACAGGAGCAGCACAGACGACGAAGACTCAGACCTTCAGTGTTGCAGTCAGAATAACGGGTGTCAGAATCACCCTTCTACCACGAAGAGCAATAAACGCGGGTGAAGTGCACGAACGACAGCTCTCTGGCATCGGACACAGACAGAGGACTACGGCCCTTGAGGAGAGAGAGTCCGGGAGACGAGCTTCCGACGCGCTGCAGGTTCCCCCTGTTGGAGCCCAAGAGCAGCCGTCTGGGTGGGGCGAGCCAGCGGCCCAGCTCCCCGGGCTGCGGCGGGGGCCTGGGGACGGGGGGCTTCGCAGAGAAGGGCCTCCGGGGGTCCACAGAGGCGTGTCCTGGCGTCCCTGCCCAGGCACTAAGCGGCATTTGTGCAAGGCAGGGCGCTGCGTACCCTGGCCGAAGATGGCTATTGAAAGGCTGTGAAGTAAGTGGGCATCACTGAATGAGCCCAGTGCTGGAGACCCCAGAGTTCCAACCAGCCAGAACGGAGAGACCACGCAGAGCGACACAAGTATTCCATGTGATCCCAGCAAGATCGCAACAGTAGATGGGATACTGTGGAAAACAAGATCAAGGAACTCTAATAGGTCTCAGGCTGGGAGAAATTATTTGCTTTCTCTTTATGTATCTGACAAAGGATGTATATGAAATACTGTAGCACTCTAAATCAGCAATGAAAAAGAGATACAAGTATCCAGTAAACCCTTGAAAAACTGTCCAATGTCACCAGTCATCTAGGAAATCAGGGAAATGAAAATTAAAAGCTTACCACCACACCATACTGAATAGTTAAATCAAAAAGGCTGACACCACCAAATACCAACAAGGATGTGAAATAACTAGAACCTCGATCCATTGTTGGGGAAAATATAAAATGTAACCACTTTGGTAATTTGCTTAGCAGTTTATTATAAAATTAAGCATATATTTATAGTTCAGCAAAAATGAAAACATGTATCTACAAAAGGACTTGTAAAACAGTATAAGTATTAAATTTTATTCATGATAGCCCCCAAATGGAAAGGATAAACAAATTGTTTTTTTTTAATTCAGTGAAATGCTAAGTAATAGAAAGGAATGAATGACTTACATACATTAGCACCTGCATGCATATATGTGTGTGCTTGCATGCTAAGTTGCTTTAGTCATGTCCAGCTCTTTGTAACCCCATGGACTGTAGCCTGCCAGGCTCCACTGTCCATGAGATTTTCCAGTTAAGAATGCTGGAGTGGGTTGCCATTTTCTCGTCCAGGGGCTCTTCCTGACCCAGGGATTGAACCCACACCTCTTACATCTCCTGCTTTGGCAGGTGAGTTCTTCACCACTAGCACCGAAAATATATTGAGCAAAAAAGAAGCCAGACCCAAAACTCTACATACAGTATAATTCCATTTATGTGAGGTTCTAGAATGGAGAGGCTTAGTCTGTGGTAATAGCAACAAGAACAGTGGTTGCCTTAGTGGAAGGGGTTGTCTAGGATTGGGAAGGGGTACCAAAGAACTTTCTGGAGTGTTGGGATATTTGTGTAGCTTGATAAGGGTGATATGAGTTACATAGAAGTGTGCACTTCACACAACCTTACAGTCCACTTAATATCTATGCATTACACTATATAAGTGAATCATCAATCTTTAAAAGACCTTCGTCCCTCCCACAAAAAGGACTATAACTTCAGGAAACAAAACACCTTGGTCTTGGTTGAAATACTGATTCTGGTATACTTAAAAGCTCCGTGGCCATGGGTAAATTATTTAACCTCTATATATTCTAGGTTTCTCATCTGTGGAGTTGGGATAAAAATAGTACCTAATTTAGGGTTGTGAAGATTAAATGAATGTTTCAAACATTTAATAGGGACATAGAAACACAGTAATGGTGTTGATAATGAAGCAGACATAATCTGGTTTTAAGATTAACCATGTTCTGGTTCTTTGAAAGCTGATAAAGCAGTACTTATTTCTCTGACTTTAGTCTCTTCATCTCTAAAATAAGGAGGCTGTGTTAGATGAGTGACTCTTAACTGGGCGGTCAGATGCTCCTGTAAGAATCCTACCCCTCCCTTAGGAAAACGTAACCCTCTCTAAAGAAAATGTCCCTAATACACGTACAGGGAATTTTGTATTATTAATGTATATTAATTGCTTTATGACCTCTAAGAAATAATAAATGTGTCTGGTGTTTTGTTTTGCTGTGCTTTACTTTTTAAATAAAATGAAATCTGACTGAGGTCCCATCTTACCAAGGTTAAGGAGCGGTCTGAGAAGTCTCCTTCCTCATTGTTTGATCCTGCAAACACCACGGTGCTCATGTGAATTTTGAAAATGGGGCTGACCCCCCACCCCAGCCTGGGTCCCCACGCCTGGCTTTGTGTCCAGCGCGGCCATCGCCCTAGCCTCGGCCCAGGCAGGCCGCAGCACTGGAGCTCCCCATGTCCCCTGTTGGACTTGCCATGGGGACCTGCTCCAAGGCTCCCAAGGTCGCAGCCGCAGGGCTCAGGCCTCTGGAACACCCACACCGTCGTCCCTTCCAAGACTTGCCACGATCTGCTGTAGGTTCCCACTCACCCTGCAGCACCTGAGACCTTCCGGTTCCTCGTCTCCAGAAACCCTGGAGTTTGTCCACCTGCATCTTGAGCCCTGCCTCTGTTCTCCGCCTGTCATTTACACAGCCCCGTCTCATTTGGAGATGAGTCAAGGTCTTTGAAAACCAAGAGTACTTTATAAAGTCTGCTTTTTGTGCTAAAGCACACCTGACTGTTAATTTACTGCTGAGCTAAAAAAACTCCCAGGCACAAAGACAAAAAGGCCTGGAGCATCTAGAAGGTTAGGAACTGTATTGTGCTCTATGATCTCAGAGGTCACTCCTAGCAGTGGTTTTCCGAATGGCTATGCCACAAGCTCCCAGAAGCAGAGGAAGGGTCTGAGAAAAGCGGTTCATGTAGAACAGAATTTGAGGAAGACAAAGGGAGTAAAAACTGTGCTGGAGATGTGGGTTATAAGCAGAGCGGCTTGAGTGTACGTTAGTAGGGAAGAAGGCTCCTCAAGAGAAAGATGAAAGCCAGGGACTGTACTTTATTAAAATGAATGACTATTCATTTTAGATGCAATTGCAGTCTGCTTAAACAAGCTGTAGATTTTTTGAGCAGAAGATGCTGCTTTTTGCCACAGGACCTATATAACCTGATTGCTTGGTGAGATCCAGATGGCCGATTCAGAGGGTAATCCAGGTCGATTTAAGTGTAGTTCATCTTTCCAGATAAGGAGTCTGTCTGCAGAGCTGCTTTGTTGTCTGGAAAATCAGGAGACTTAGGGGGCGTTTGCAGGGATGTTTTCAGCTGTCATATCAGAGTAACATCAAGACCTTTTCATTTTTTTTCCTCTGTTGACAGAACAACACGGATGGACTTCATGAACTTGCTTGCGGGGGCTTAATTTATTGCCTGGGAGTTGTTTTCTTCAAGAGCGATGGCATCATTCCATTTGCCCATGCCATCTGGCACCTGTTCGTGGCCACGGCAGCTGCAGTACATTACTATGCCATTTGGAAATACCTTTACCGAAGTCCTACAGACTTTATGCGACATTTATGACCAATCTGTACTAGGTCTCCAAACCAGTATTATTTCAATTATGGCACTTAGGAGTGGGATAAGAGCTGAAAATTGCACAGAGGAAGAAAAAAAGAAGACAGCTGCACTGACTTTCTTTATATCTTTTGAATATAATTACTGTGAAAGTATGAAAGCTGTGTTCTGGAATTTTCCCCCTCACAGCAAGTAAATAAGGTAGTGAATTAATTACTCATTCCATTCCACTATCATGAAGGACTCTGGAGAGACTTGGCCAACTGATGTTTACAAACCAGAATTTTGTATTTTAATTTTACAGATTTTACTACATGATTTTTCTAAATTACTAGGTCAGATTGTAAAAGTCAGTGCAATAACGACACTTCCTTTTTAAGAGAAAATTATTTCTATCACTTTCCCATTAGCTGTTAAAGAATCATGAACAGAACTTACACTACTTTTTACCATGTTTCATCTTGGCATACGTGGTTATTTTTAAATAAAAACTTCAGTTTTTTGTAAATTTTTAAAAAATACTTCATTGAAGCGCATCTCTGTGCTTCTTCATTCATGTGAATTTTTGCAGCAATCTGTCAACATTCCACAAATGAACAAACATTATACCTCTTCTCTGATAATTTTATTAAGCATGGAGAAATTTCCAGTTTTTAAAAACTGCAAGTTTTCCAAAACTTTCCTGCCAACCTCTGACTCTGAATTCTGTGCTGCTTTGGGCCACGTATTTGACCTAGTTTGGTTTCCCAGCAATAGAAAAGTATTTTGATATCACTAACTTTTTCAAAAGATTGAACTTTTTCTCTATGTCTTTGCCATGTCTCCTTCAGGGTCTTTTCCCACAGAAGATGAGTATCTAGTCTGTATTAAGAGAGGATTGCTGGCTTGGCCATCCACTGAACACTCCTGAAGAGCATTATGAATTACAGTGAATAGTGGTCATGCCTGTCTGGTGCCCAGTGGTTAAGTTATTGTCACTTAGCTTTATATTACCAATTTGATAGTCATTTTAAGTTGTGGAGCTAAATGCATAAATTCACATTTCTACTTTTCCTTTGCATCTCCTGATAGACTTTTTTTTCATAGAAAAGTATTTAAAGCACTGTTTGGCAAACTCATGTATCTATTGTTCATCAGTTATATCCTGGCTCAGTGGAGTGATATTTAATATATTGTTTTTGGTTTTCCTTCAATGTCTTATATTAAGATTAACATATTAGTTGCTTTTTGGTTAATCTGCTGTTGGTGTTTTGATACATAACCTTGCGTTTAGATCTGGTGCTGATATTACCTGTTTACTGGTGATGGATTTGATCACTGGAATTGTTAGTTTGACAGTATATTGAATTCAGTTCATTGAAATTTTGTACTGATGTAGCCTTAAAGGAGGGTTTCTTTTGCGTGTGTGTGTATGTTTAGAACTCTGACTTTGGTAAATTATATGGGAATGAAAAACAAAAGAACTGCCTTTTGCTGGTGAATTCTTAAATAGGCAAAAGTGAAAGTGATAGTCACTCAGTCATGTCCGACTCTTTGCAACCCCAAATAGGCAAGGTACCCAGTGAAAACACCAACCAGACCATCCCTTCTGCATGATTCTGAACATCTGGATGCCTCTTGTTTTATTGTGTATATTTAATTTTAAGTGTATTAACTTTTGTGGATTTATTTGAAGTCTGCTCAAAAGTACCACTGTCAAAACCACTAAAATGTATGTAAAAAAATTGTGCTGTAGACTAAAATAAAATTGTTACTTGGACTTGTTCCACTGTCTCTAAATTAGATGACTGTGAAAATGATAATGCATTTTTGAATGCCTGAGCTCATCTAGCATATGTAATTCGTATACTAGCCTTTTTTTTTTTTTTTAAGTCAGGATGGGAAGAAAAACAAATGTACCCTGTCATATAGAATTTTCTAGTCCACTTTTTGATAATCGAATTGCCAGAACCAGTGCAAACATTAAAATCAAACCACATTTTCAGCTTAAAATATGCTAGTCTGGGCCTAAGGATTATACATTTTATAAATGATGTATCTTTACCCAGAGAAGCCTTTTGGTTTAGTTTATATAATACCCTGTAAGATTGAGCCTACAAGCTGTTTTGTTACCAAGCAGACACATACTGTAAGTGAGTAACAACTCTGTGAGTGTTGGATTTCTCCCTCTTCTGCAGGGTAGGAAACAGTCAGGTTTACCTGCCTCATGCTCATTCAGGGAGCTGGGAACGGAACCCAGCTTCTCTCCAGTTCTGAAGCCTCCAGTTCACTTTGTATCACAGCACTGTCAGAGTCAGCAAGAACAAAGGGATCAAGAAATTTGAACTGAGAATTCATCAGGCATGCACATGGAAAAGAAAACAGTTTTCATGCAGTTTAGAACCTCAATAAACCCTCAGGCAAACCTCTGTCAAATCTAATTTTGAAGATTAGGTGTCTTGAGATTTTATTTCGAATTCTGTTGTCTAGTCCACCAGGGTAACCTCATCTCCTCCTGGAGCATCTGCTCACTCTGTGTATCTCCTTCCTTATCAACTGTTCAGTCGCTCAGTCATGTCCGACTCTTTGTGACCCCATGAATCGCAGCACTCCAGGCTTCCCTGTCCATCACCAACTCCCGGAGTTTACTCAAACTCACGTCCATTGAGTCGGTAATGCCATTCAACCATCTCATCCTCTGTCGTCCCCTTCTCCTCCTGCCTTCAATCTTTCCCAGTCTTTTCCAATGAGTCAGCTCTTCACATCAGGTGGCCAAAGTATTGGAGTTTCAGCTTCAGCCTCAGTCCTTCCAATGAACACCCAGGACTGATCTCCTTTAGGATGGACTGGTTGGATCTCCTTGCAGTCCAAGGGACTCGCAAGAGTCTTCTCCAACACCACAGTTCAAAAGCGTCAATTCTTAAGCTCTCAGCTCTCTTTATGGTCCAACTCACATCCATACATGACCACTGGAAAAACCGTAGCTTTGACTGGATAGACCTTTGTTGACAAAGTAATGTCTCTGCTTTTTAATATGCTGTCTAGGTAGGTCGTAACTTTCCTTCCAAGGAGTAAGCGTCTTTTAATTTAATGCTGACTCTTCCTTATTCTTTCCCCGACTGAACCCCAGGGACTAGCCCCGTGCCCCACGGTGCCTTCGTACTTGTGCTTTTGTACCCACTCTAACTCGGCTTGGAAGGCCTTTACCCCCAGCCAGTGCCCTGCCCTGGGAACACCTGCTGGGTCCAGACCACCACCAGCGCCCTCAGGCTCCAGCCCCAAGTGCCCTCCCTTTTGGGCCTCAGCTCTGCTGCCCCTCTGTGGCCCCACCCTTGGCCCTGGGGAGCGTTTGTCTGTCTGCCCTCTCTGCGGCTGGGGCCGCCCCTCTGCAGGCTGGAGCTGAGTTTCACCCAGTTCTGTCCGCAGCCCAGCGCCACCCTCACAGCGAAGGTGGAAAGCGGGCCTGGGGGTGAGTGGGAAGGGAGGGGCAGGCTGGAGGGTGGTGTCGTGCACGAGAAAGATTGAGCATCAGGTGTTTGCAGGACACACTTGTTTATACCCAGTGGATCTGGTCCCTGAAAGCGGATGCGGCTCTCACTACCTGGCTGGAGCCTGACTTCCGTTCCTTGGCCTCGCTGGCTTCCCTGACCAAGAGTCTGCCAGAACATTCATAGCAACCACAGTAAAAGCTGATGAGAGACTGGCGTGGAAGCAGGAGACACCGTGTCCTAAATAAGGGGAAACCCCGACTTGATTACCGAAGGGTTCAGAGGACCCACTACCCATCATTTAAAAGACGCATGCCCCACAGTGTTCATTGCCGCCCTGTGTACAATAGCCAGGTCATGGAAGCAGCCTGGTGTGTCTGCAGATGAGTGGATGAGAAGTTGTGGTGCATATAGACGGTGGGATATTACTCAGCCATAGAAAGGAATGAATTTGAGTCAGTTGAACTGTGATGGATGAACCTAGAACCTATTATGCAGAGTACAGTAAGTCAGAAAGAGAGGGGAGGGATGCGGGGGGGATGGGAGGGAGGGTCCAGAGGGAGGGGGCACGTGTATACCCTTGGCTGATCATGTCCTACAGCTGAAACAAACACGACCCTGTAAAGCAAGTATCCTCCAATTAAAACCAAGTTTATAAAAGTCTGGGAAGCTATTCTGCCTATCCTGCATCCCTCTGGTCCTCTTTTCTGAATGTAATAATAAACTGAAATAACACTCAGTTCTGCAACCCATGAGCCTCAGTGCAGACTGCACTCAATTAGAATGAGTCGGCTCATCCTAAGCCATTATTATGTATTTCCTGCCATTCTTTCCCCGCTATTTAAGGAATTTGGTTTTTGTTTTATACAGTTGTAAATATGCCACACATGCAATTATGTAACTGCTTTTTCCTGCTTATTATATTATAAACATTTAAAAAAATTATTATATAGCTTTCATAGCCAAAATTTTTAATGGCTCCATCATCTTTCCAGACCAGACATGCAACCTGTTTTGTTTAGTCATTCACCTAATTGGGGATTTTTAGATTCAGATTTTTCATTACTGTAAACAGTGCTGTATGAACATCTTTGCATAAAGTTTTGTCCCTATTTGTGACTGGGTCTTTGAGATAATAATAAGAAACAATTGAGTACTTCCTATGTCTGGGGGACTGGTACTGTGGATTATCTCACTCTTTACAAAAAACCTATGCGTAGATAATTTTATTATCTCCATTTTACAGATTAGAAAACAAACACTGATAAATGAATTTCCTTGCTCAAGATAAGTGTTAGAGCCAGATTAAACCCAGGGATCCTGGAGTCTTAAGTGTTTTCATTCTCAAGAGTGCAATCCCTGGGTCAAAGTTTTATTAATGGTTTTACCCAAAGTGAAAGTGAAAGTCGCTCTGTCCTGTCTGACTCTTTTAGACCCCACGGACTATACAGTCCATGGAATTTTCCAGGCCAGAATACTGGAGTGGGCAGCCTTTCCCTTCTCCAGGGGATCTTCCCAACCCAGGGATCGAACCGGGGT